GGCTACGAACGCAACTGCAAGGATACCGGATTTTATTAGACGGGTCTAAGCGTATCGTAGTGAGCAGGAGCGTGCTTTTTGAGGAAACGCCAACGTCCCGCACGCTGCCTGCGGATGATAGCGAAAGCAGCGGCAGCGGAAGCGATAGTGACGATGAGGACGATGTGGCTAGCAGTAGTTGCAAGACTGCAGCCCCTCCCCGGCAGGGGGAGCAGTTTAGTCCGAGTGAGGCCGTAGAGGATAGTCAAGGGAACGCGGCGATTGGAGATTCAGCTGAGTTGAATGAGGGGGAGCCTATGGTAGTTGGCGCAGTACCTGAGGCACCTGAGGAGGAACCCACGGCTACCGCTGGTGCAGCCGATTCCGCCAAAGGGAAGCCTAAGACTACCAGCGGGACCACTAAGGGGAAACCTAAAGCTGTCGGTAAGGCAGCTGAGGGGGAGGATAAGGCTGGTGCAGCTGCCTCTACACAACATCGTTACCCCCAACGTGACCGTCATCCGCCCCAGCGACTCAACCTTGCTGTTAACGTATCGGACGTCAAAATCCCGAGCACCTACGAGGAAGCGATGGCCTCTCCGGAACGGGACAAATGGCAGGAGGCGATGGCCGAAGAAATCGGATCTATCCACGCATTAGATACGTGGGAGCTGAAGGTACCGCCGCCTGGGGTGAAACCGATTCCGGTGAAGTGGGTGTACGACGTGAAGCGGGGTCTAGACGGACAAGTGGAACGATACAAAGCCCGGTTGGTAGCAAAGGGCTATAAGCAGAAGGAAGGTGTTGACTTCAATGAGGTATTCGCGCCTGGTAGCAATCAGGTGACGTTGCGTACATTCCTGGCGAAGGCTGCGGCTGAAGGATTTGAGGTACACCACCTAGACGTGCGCACTGCGTTCCTCAACGGGACGCTGGAGGAGGTGATTTATTGTGACCAACCGCCTGGTTTTGAAACGGGTGGCGCAGGTATGAAGTGTCTGTTGCGAAAAGCGTTGTACGGTTTACGCCAGGCAGGCAGAGCTTGGCACCAGAAGTTGCGGGAAACGCTCGAGGCCATTGGTTTTAAGGTTTCTGATGCGGATCCCAGCTTCTTTACGCTGGAAGAGCAGTCATTTGTGGTGTGGCTATACGCTCACGTAGACGACTTGCTAGTCGCGAGCAACAAAAGCGAGGAAATAGCCCGTATAAAGCAAGAGTTGAAGGCTGAGTTTGACCTCCGTGATTTGGGGGAGGTGTCGTTCTTTTTGGGTATGGAGATCAGTCGGAGCAAGGAGCTAGGCGAGGTCAAAATCTCGCAGCAGCGGTATACGGCCGAATTGTTGGCCAAGTTCGGGATGGAGGATGCAGTTCCTAAGTCGGTT